GTCAGGGTCAGACACACCTAGAGACAGAAATTAAGTGTTTATAACTATTATATCTTCAATGTTTGCATCAATGAAATTAAGAAATAAAGACGTGGGCAGAAATTCTGGACCACAACTCACAGTGACAGTGGCCAGGAGACCTTCTGGCACGTTGGCGACAATGATACCGATGAGGAAGATGACGGCCTCCAGCCACCCATATCCAAGGATGAGTGAGAGGACGAAGAAGGAAACACCCAGGAAGACAGCAACACCGGTGATGATGTGAATAAAGTGCTCGATCTCGACAGCGATGGGAGTTTTGCCGCCCTCCAGACTGGAAGCCAGGGTGGCGATACGACCCATGACTGTATGATCTCCAGTGTTGATGACGACTCCTCTTGCAGTACCTGGATAGAGCACAACATTTTATGAGTAATAAGTTAAAAAAGTGGTGTGAAAATAAAATATTCTTCAGATGAATGAATGAATGATAGGAGTCTTCCACCATTTAAATGTGATCTTTAACTTGTGAAGACAAGTTTGGTAAATTCTCACTTCTCTTCAGCTCTTTTGTAACTTTTCTACTTTAAACAATCTTTTCGTGTGTAATTTCCTTTTTAATTTGGGCTTAAATTCAATCTAATTAAATCTGTACATAAATAACTTTGACCCTGTAAATTCTGTGTTATATATTTGTTAGTTCTCTACCTTCAACACAGTTGGTGGAGAAGAAAACAATGTTTCTAGTTTCCAGGGGGTTGTCGTTGGAGAAGTCTGGAGTACGAGTCTGGGGCTCGGACTCGCCGGTCAGAGAGGAGTTGTCCACCTGAAAGACAAAAAGTAAAGCAAGAATGAAATACCAAAGATGTCCAGAGAGTTGATAATGACATGCTGTTTACTAGACAAAAGTGGGAAAATAGAAGTTGGCGCTTTTGGGTCTAAATAACAATAAAACTAAGAAACAAACTTTTGAACTGATTCTGATCTTTGAGTCAGTAACGAGAAACCTTTTCAGAAAGTGATTAAGAGGAAGTAAACTGATGCTTAATAAACCACATCTGTCAACATAAGGGTTTTTTTCCAGCATATTAAGCAACTTTAAGCATGACTTACTGACGGTGTACGGTGTGAGTAAATCATGATTTCTTTTGTCTTACTTGACCAATATTAATGCTCAAAAACTAATAATGAATAAATTGCACACTGGATCACAAGTTAGCTTAACAATAAGCAAAGGTACGGACCTTGCAGCCGCTGGCAGAAACGATTCTCAGATCAGCTGGGATCCTGTCTCCACCTTTCACTTCTATCAAATCTCCGACCACCACCTCCTCAGCGTTGATGCTCTTCTTCTCACCATCACGAACGACCAGGGCTTGCTACGAGACCAAAGGTTAAATACATGTTTTTATTTCTGAACAGAGGAATTACACTTCTTGAATAGGTTTTGCTTTTATTTCCAGCAGCAAGAAACCAGGTCATAAATGGAAAGAATGTGTCAACACGGCTGTATTACCGGTGAAGTAATATTGGTCCTTAGCATTGTGCAACATGTTCTATTATTTGTGTCTCAAATTTGATACAAGCTTTTCAATGACACTATTTTCTGTTGAAGAAAATTGTGAATTGAGCAGGTCAAGAAAGAATCACCTGTGGGACCAGGTTCTTGAAGGAGTCCATGATCTTGGAGCTCTTGGCTTCTTGGTAGTAGGAGAAGCAACCAGTGATGATGACGACAGCGGAAAGCACAACACCCAGGTACAACTACAGTAAGAGGGGAAAGACTATAAGTCAGTTCATCTTTGGCAGTATTAATTATTTTAATTCACGGTTACAATTTACATTTTAAACGCCAACAAAGACCTCCTTACGTTATCGTTGGCAGGTTCGTCTTCTGATGCAGCCTGGATACCGTAAGCGAGGAAGCAGAGGATAGCACCAATCCACAGCAGCATGGAGAAACCACCAAACAGCTGGAAATAGGATAAAACAACATTCAAGTTTCAAGATGTTACTGGTTTTACTGGCTACAAGGAGTTCATTTGCGTTTCTAAAATTTTAATATGCAAAATAGGTTTGTGTTTTGCATAGAAAATGTTGCCCTCCCCCGACTGTGAATTTCAGCCCTGGAGGTAACTTTTACCTGTTTACAGAACTTGACCCATTCAGGTGTTGTGGGAGGAGGTGTGAGGGCATTTGGGCCATCACGGTCTAGGATCTCTTTTGCTCTGGCGTTGGAAAGACCCTAAAAAGAGACACAAAGAAGAAAGGTTCATACTTCCCCACAACAGCCTGGCAGATTGACAGAAAAAAGAGATAGCGTTGTCTTTGTCCTCGTTTACTGGAGGGAAACACTTTGATGAACAAGCCAGAGCGGAGCAGAGTGTTTCCGGCTGAACTGCTTTATTTTGTACACAGGTACACCGCTATTACCTCAGGAGCTGATGGATTAAAGTTTGGTTGAAATGAAAACAAAGAAAAACCACATGCACAGGAAGAAAGACCTCAGTAATCTTATAATTACTGCTTCCCGTTTTTACAATTCTGTGGAAAGAGCGATAACAGGAGACAGGACAATGAGGTTGTATTTCTATTATTAGTTACAATGAGAACTTCAACGAGGTCAGGGTCACATTTTCTTACAGTGTAAAAAAAAATGGAGAAGATTTAAGAGTGTCTCTTTGGAAGGTACCAGGAGTGTTTTTCCAAGTCTTTGTTTGGGGATTTCAGATAATCAGCATCAGTCAAGCATTTGGATAGTATGTGTGTCCTCAGCTTGATGAAGACCACGGCCCAAACATTAAAAGTACATTTTGTGCAGCAGCACAGTTTCCCCTCCCTTTTTTTATAAATTAACATTTTAAAGGATCAGTTCACACAAATCACAAGATTTTTCTCTGTAGTTGTATATGGCCATGCAGATAGTTTATGTTATATTTATGAGTTTTTTAGATATATGTCTCAGATTCATATGGTGCTCAGTGCATTTACAAATTAGAGCATGTGCTGTTGGTTGTCTATTTTATGAGATCATAAAACAAATCAGAGGGATCATAAAAAAAAAATTTTCTTTTCATTTTATAGCTTTCTTTCTTCAAAAGAAACAAACTCAGATGAACAGATTACTCTTCTCATAACTCAGGTCCACATTAAGATATATGGGGTCACAAGTAAAGACCACTTTATCTTGAGGTGCCGTAAACCAAAAAGATGTTGCTTTCTAATTTTAAGTGTCATATTGCAGATCAATAACATACAATTTACTTTCATTGTATTGTGGTGGAGACCAAAATCTCAAAAACTTGAAGAATAAAACCAAAACTATCTGCTTGGCCAGACACCCGATGGAAAAAAATGTTAATTGTAGTCTGGTTAAACCCACCCTTTAAAATCATTTTCCCACATGAGTGAGAATAAGTTAGTAAATTGTCTTTGCACTACTCTTATACACTACAAATAGTGGATAAATAAGTGCATCTATGTAATGCTTTGTGCTTTTGACCTCTGGTCTTATCTGCCTCTGTGAAATTGTCAGCAGCTGGTACAACAACCCAGCGTGTTACTATCACTCTGATAGGCTTATAATGGCTCACACACACATACATTCAAAAACAAACACTCACTAATGCTGCATGCTCACCCTGCTTAGATCGGTTCCGTATTTTCGGTGAAGTTCATCCAAGGTTAACTTGTGATCATCCTATAGAGAGAAAGGGAGAGAAAGATTGAGAGAAATTGAAAACAAGCCAAAATCCCTGCCTATTTTCAGAACCACAGATATTATCTCGTTTGAGGATTAAAACATGTGCGATGATGTCCTCCAGAGAGACACAGGGAACATAAAGATGACAAGGCAAAAGCAGCCATCTGATCAGGATTATGGATGAATGCCAGTCCATACAATGTGATTTTGAGATTAGTCAAAGCAGACATTCAAGTAAAACTACAGTCTGCTGATGACTGAAAACTTGCAGCCAAACACAAGGGCTGAGCCACCGTGAGCTCTGGGACGTATGGACTCATCCAAACAGTCCGTTTGCTGCGAGTAAACAGTCCACCCAGCAGAATCAATGTCACCCAACTGATACACCAACGTTTGTTCCCAAGAGTAATGCTCATGTGCTTGACATTTTCCCCCAAGAAGGGAGACCCCCCCTTTCACACTTACGGCATCAGTGTCATCAAAATGAATTTGGTGGTTGATTCGATCATTTAAGTTTTGTTTTCATGTAACATTTGATCATAATTCTTTAAAAAAAAAGTTTCATCTAGTAACAACTTCTTTATTTTTAAATGAAAGCGCGGGGGAAATACAAGTAAAAGTGGATCTGCAAATAAACAACTAGAGAAGCTGGTGTGTTCATGCGCCTACACTGTGTTTTTTTTTAATAACGCCTACAGCGAGTGAATGAATAGAGATTCTTCCAATGCAATCTGCAATAATATCTGACCTTTCCTTTCATTTTTTTAATACTGCAAAAGAACAAATCTTTATTCAAAATGCAATAAAGTGAAACATCCCAACACTGGTTTCTGTGGTGGTTCACTGACCTCACATATGTAAGAATATCTTGTTGTGATTGAAATGGTGCAGAATTTTTTTGAGCGGTAATAGTTTTTTCCTCAGTAATTACTTCCATGAAATAAAAGCACAGCTAGCTACACCCTGATGAAATTCGATGAGTCAACCATTATATGCATGGAAAGTATGTCATGTTCTAGCACCCTGCTTGTATTCATTATTATTACATGGGCCTGTTTTGGTTATGGTTTTTACATGGTTATTTGTTAAAAACACAGACTCCCTCAAATGTCCAATAAGAGATGCAGCTTTGTTCTCAGCCACTGTTAGCTCACAATGAATGGATGATTGACAGAATGAATGAATAAACAAATGGAGCATCAGTTCACACCACCCAGTGACAGTGTCTCATTATATTATGTTTATGTTTGTTTTAACCTTTTAATGTTTGGAGTATATAAGTCCTGTATGCAATTACACATTTACATAATAGTAATGTGACCACTGAAAATGAAGTCCTAGGCCATTAACGGATTAAGTGAGTCCCTTTATATTTATGTGCTGGTGGAGAAAATAGGTGTAATTGCCCGATTCTGCCTGGCATGCCATAATTTTTTTTGTTCCATGCCAAATGTGCCATGGATAATGTTTATATATGTCGCAAACTACTACTGTTGCTTTTGAAGTCCCGCAGAGGAAATTTCCTCACAAGCTTTGACTTTAACTCCGGCTCCAATCACACACATTTGGATAATGTGTGGATGGTCAAACACACACTACTGGACTTGTTTAAGAAATCAAATTGAACATGATTCTATATTTAGCATTTACTGTTGGACTTTGTCACATTTCATCAAATCACCAGCTCCTTTATGTTGCTATGGGAGCAATTTCCATTGTCTTTAGCTGGACTTTGATGCCTCAGTTAATAATATGAGTGCAATAATCATTAACATGTCAGCTTCATTTGTTCCACAGAGACCAATCTACACCCTCGCAACAGTTTTACTACTGCCCAATATACTGCTATTAATTAATTATTGTTTAAATATGAAACCTGAGGATGATCAGTACATGACACTTAATCACTGCTGTCCTTTTTGTGCTCTCAAAGTCAAACTTATCTTGGAAATAAAGCACTTCTAGCATTTGGGAGACACATTAAAGGCAGCGCCTGTTTTTAATTGCAGTAAATGATATGCTAAGTTGGAGAAGTTACTGCCGACTGGCGATACGGTTGCTATGGCACTGAGATGTCCTTCAGTGGCGGCAGGACTTTGAGATCTAGTTAAGACATACAGAGGACAATAATCATTAATATGTCACCTAGATGGGATTTTTATTAGCCAGTCGCGCTTTGACCTGGTGGGTGACATTGAGCAGAAAAACTGCAGTAATTAAACAATTAGTTATAAAACTGGCAACAAGCCATACCTTTTATATTATATTGTAATAATAGTTTTTGAGAAGTTACTTCAGAAACACATGACATCAATCTACTTTACATGATGACCTTGTGAAAGTCAAAGACCAGTTTAGTTGATAATATACCTTACAGAAAAATTACAGAAACTTAGTATTATTAAAAATTAGTATTATGATATTATCAAATCATCAGCAGGACATTTTAACCTGCCATGGTCACTAATGTCTATTTAGTGCTTTGAAATTAACTGCTTAATGACCTTGTGAAGGACACTATTTTGCGGAAGGTAAAACGCACTTTCCAAGAACAAATTTAGAAATTTTCATAAGAAGGAATAATTTAAGTCGACACCTTTAATAAATGTATTTATGCCTATTAAATGCCACAATTGTTCCTATAAACACAAAGGCAGTGTTGTGAAATCGTTCACAAGACCTTTTCAATGACTTTGGGATGAACCGAATGCAAGAGCGGCTCACTGACCTTGGGAAATGACCTCAGCCGGCGACAGTTTGAGAAAAAGCTGACACCCATGGAAATTGGGCAAATGCTCTACACAGGAAATTTAAACCTCCATGCATGAAACTTTACAACTTTGTAAATGTCTATGCATCTAAACTTGTTGAGTGCAGTGATAACCAACCACCCATAATCTGAGAGTTTGAAAGGAAGTTAGAAGCAAAATAATATATGTTTACTGGCTATGGGAAAAAGCTATGCTTCATATGTTTTGAGAAACTGAGGACAATAATGACAACAGAGACTCTCACCAAACATTTTAGCGCTGAACACCAATCTAGATAAGCGTGACTTAGAAGTTAAGTATAACTGTGATCTCCTTAAACACATGTGACAGTACATACAGCCGTGTAAGTAGCAATCTTTATGAAACATGGGGCAGACAGCTACATCTCATGTGACCAGCCGTGAGGTCAAAGCGGAGGTTTGCCTCAGCCGTGACTGTATCATTCCTGTGACCAATGGTAGTGACTGACCAAGGGTGTTAACAGGGCCTGAATAAGACTGTAATTTAGTATGAGGCAAACTATGTGCATGTGAGGACATGGTTATTAAGTTCAAGAAGGTCATTCTGTTTCACACCTGTTCCTTTGTGTAGATTAAGGTGGGTTTTTGATTTACAAAGTCACTTTTGAGTGTATTGCCATATTGAAACTGCCTCAATCAAGTAATTAAGATAATACTAGACTGGTTTTACTTTTGTTTGTGTACTCACCAGGTCAACTTCTTTCTTCAGCTCAGCCATATCCTTTTCCGATTTACCTTTCTTCCCTTTACGTTTCTTCTCTTTGCCATCTGAAGTTGCCGCCAGCTTGTACTCCTCTTTCCCTCTCTGGGTTGAAGAAAATGAGACAAAATGAGCTTATGAATAAGACTTAGCACAAGTGGGAATATTGCTCTGAAGTTTCCTCTTTTGTTGCATAAGCAAGAGCAGAAAGCAGTGTCAGTTTGTTCAAACTTGCTGTAAAACGTGTGTTAATCATTGTTAGAAGGATTGTGGAGTATTCTCATAAAAATCTCTAATTTGAAAAGTCTGAAGCGTTCCCACAACTGTAGAATAAAAACTGTACACTCGCACCACAGATTTCGAAACTAAGGTACAAAGTACTTTAGGCAATCCACAACTGTCAAGCTTAACCAATAACTTGTGACTGAAACTTGGTCTGTGCTCAAAACTGAAAGACATAACTGGTCAAATCTTAACCTAATTCTAAAGACTCTTAGAAACAAGGCCAAAACATGTGACAAAGTTCCAATACTTACTCCCAGCCCCATGGTTGCAGTGTAAGTCTGAGAACAGTCAATCCAATTGTCTTTTTAAATTGCAGCGTTCCTACTCCGCCTCTCTCTCTCTCTCACACACACTCTCTCTCTCCCAACCCTGTTGCTTCCTGTGTCTTCCGCACTCCCCAGAGCAAAGAAGATAGACTGCTTCAAGTCAGCAAACCACCTTTATACCCACCTGCCCCGAGAGGCGGGGCTTGAGGGAGGGGAGATAGAGAGGGGTGAAACTGGACAGGTGAGTAGTAGTGTTGGGGAGGGGAAGGGGGGTTACTGGAGGAGGGAGGCATTGGTGGAGGAGGAGTGCGGGACAAAGAGGAGGGGTAAACCTTGCTCAACTTCCCTGTTCTCACCGCTTCCCTTCTCCTTATTTTACTCTTTACTCATTTACTCTCTCTCCTCAATCCTTTCCACTTAGCTTAATTTCGACCTTTACTTGCAACGGGTAGGCGGTTCGGACAACCAAACGCCCATGCCCTTCAGTGAATCCCTGTGCGTACTGTCTCTGTGTGCTCAGTTTACAGTACAAACAGGAATGAACAGAAAATAGGCAAGATAGTAATAGTGAATGAGAGACATGGAGATAAAGGCAGAGCTAAAAAGGTGAAAGTCCAGTTCTGCAGGTGACTGATTGCCCAAAGCTAAACGAGGCATTTAAATAACAAAAACTTAAGTCAAGTCATTTTGACTTAAGTCGAGAAGCTGATTAAAATTGCTTGACTCTTTTCCCATTCGGGAGAAAGAGATTGAACAAAACTATTGCTCAGTGGAAAGATAACAAGTGGAATGCAAAGGGAGGAATACACTGAGCCTTTAGCTTTCTCTCTCTGTCTGAGGTCAATGTGCCCTGAAATAAAAGCACCTTGCAATTGATTCTGAAGTCCTTTCACCTCAACAAAAGTCAAAAGACCAGGACTGGAATGTCTTTCACAATGCTAAACCATTGTGTTTAGCATAGATTCACATGAGGGAGCTCAAAAATGTCCTTGGGCAACTGCCTGCTGCTCCCATACCGCGGCAAAAGGATTAACATACGTTAATCATCCTGAGAAAAACAGGAAAATCCCATTTGAGACCCAATTTGTGCCGAAATCTCTAAGTGTTTAGGTGAGATTTAGGTTTCTCGTTCAAACTTGGGCAAAGATCAGCTGATACTAAACCAGGATATGAACTCAAATACTTATTTAATTGGTTCAGCTGATACACTAACAGGAACCAAAAGATTTGCAGCCCCGCCTTAATGTTCCTGTGGTTAGCAGAAATCTAAAGCAAAGCCATAAAGTTTAACTGGCTGGGATTTAAATGAATGATTGAGCCAGCTAATGCCCCTAAAATACACAAAGTCTTTGAACAGACAAAGTTATTTCTCAACTGGTCATCAAGCTGGTACAGAACAGCTAAATGGAAAAACATTATGACGTGTATATCTGAGCAGAATATGCACTGGACAAAAGCTTTCCAAATCTCGGTTCAGTCACAATGTCATCACAGATCTATGGCGGCCACCTTAGCTGCGCAAAGGACACTAATGACCCTGAAGTCTTGAGGAAACAAAGCAGGGCTCTTCCTGTTCATTGTAACTCGCAGGGAGGAGGAGGGGTTGTCCTTGTTGGCTGGCTGGTTTGGGGGTTGTTCAATGTGTTTGTAGTAAACTTCTGACTGTTTATAGTCACTAGACTATGCAGGGAGGAGGGGGACGTTATAATACAGAGATAGAGAGGAGAGAGAGGAGTGAAGGGGAAGAGAGCGAAAGCAGGGGGAAGATTGTAAAATTGCAGGGGGGAGGAGAATAAGAATTTTGTGAAAGACAATGAAAACGGTAAATAATAGACTAGACATAGAGTCTCCTCTGGTCTGGTATTGTTCTAGATGTTGTATAATGAATATAGCTCATTTGGTTGCTGCTTTAGCGGCATACAGGCCAAGAGAACCTGCCATGGCAGCGGAGCCTGCAGAGGGTACTGAACTCAATTTGTCCCAAATCTATTCACAAGGATGAAATAGATCCGGGAGAAAGAGAAAGGTGATGTAAGACACAAAGAAATTGAGAAAGGTTGAGAAAACCCTTAAGGGGACAGTTCAACCTAAAATAAAATAAAACCCATTTCTGCTCTAACTCACAGTGCTGTATATATTCACACAGATAATGGCTGTAGCTCGCCACAGTATAATAGAACCCAGTGGAAATTGGCTTGTGGTGCAGTTACTCATGATAATCTGCTGTAAATCGTTGGGATGCTAACAAACAACATGTGCTTCACAGCACATCATGTCAACAGGGGTGGGTGTGCATACTTTTAGTACCTGTCTCTTCAGCTTGACACTGACATATGACCACACCTTCTATTCAAACACATTTGCACAAACACATTGAGAATTTTTGTTTACACGCTCTCTTGCAGGATTTGTACTTGAGTACTTGAGTAGTTTAAGTCTTTGGGAAAACGACCTCCCACGGCGCATTGATGTCAACCATGCACGAATAAAACCGAAACAGCAAACCATGATTGAGACTAAGTGGCTCCCTCAGAGTTTTATGCTGCTAATGGGGGTTTCAGCTCCATAATTAATGCAGTCTAGGTTCTTGTTTAACCCCAAACAATGCTCTGCCAGCATGGGAGCTGTAGACGTAAAAAACATGGCCTTTGGAATGTCATTGTAGAACCAGGAGTAATAGTACTATTATTAGGGGAAACATATTAGTAGCAGGTGATATAGGATAAGCATTATTTAAAAACCATATTAGAAGTAGATATGATGCAACTAGTGTTGTTTTACGTCTTCTTTATGTACTACATAGCTAATGTTTTGTGTCAGAAAAGAGAGGCATTATATATAGGTTTAAAAATAAATGTTTCACTTCACTGCATGTTGCCCTTGTGGTACTCAAACTGTCTTGAACTTTGTTCCTAGTGTGACGTAGAGGCATTTTAAAATTCCACCTGTGTCTTACAACTGTTACTATTTGATAAAAATCCAGCACTGATTGACACAGAGAAGAGGAGAGAGTCAGACACAGAGAGGGGAGGAGGGTAAATAGAGCCAAAGACAGTCACCATCTATCTAAACAGATAAGTGATGATTCCAACACGACTGAGATTGTATTTACACCCCGATACTGCCAAGCTGTCTAAAGTTTATTAGGCAAAAATATAAATGTTTGTCTACTGAGCTCGCTTGCCTTATGTTGCAATACTGCCACAGTGCCACTCAGTTACCATTATCAATGAACATTTTGCATTGGGCTTACAAGGTATGGGGAAATATATGTCATTAGGACACTGTAGAGCCAAGCTGAGCTTTATGATACTTAAAACTGGCCTTGAATAAAAGCCAAGAATTTACCTTTTAAAATTATACCAAACATGTTATAGCAAGTTATGTTCAAGTGTTTAACATCCAATTTATATTGGTGGCTGGTTAAATTCATGAGCTGAATGTAGTAACAAAACTGCCACGTCAAGTTTGTTGTTGATGGATCTGTCATTCTGTAATGAATCTCCTCAGAAACTCACTACACTACAAATAAAACCGATTTAAGGCCAAATACAGCCAAGATACACAGTGGGGAGCTTTTTTCACTGCCAGCGACCCTTTCTTCGGAGTTTGTTGATAGAGATTCTGATTGGTGTGCAGCCGTCTCAGAATCATGCGTATAAAGGTTACGTGTATAGGACGTAATCAGACAAATAATGCTTTTCTCTTTTTCATGCACGGTGACCTTTTCCTTTGGCATTTGCATGGTAACTTT